GGCTGAATACCTGGTCTGGCTATTAAAGACTAAGGTAAAGAAAGCATTAAGTACCTCAGCATTGTCCTCATCCTCGGTGACAAATGCTCTAATTTGGACTTTTTTGACTGATATGTAAGCTATTATGTTATGCCTCACATTTGCAGCAAGCTAGCAGCCCCCCCATGACCAGTACCTGTAGCCCTGCAGAGGTGTAAAATCTTGTTATGCTGCCCTAGCTCATAGCTGTGTGTCTGAGCCCAGTATTTTAAATGTCACGCTTTAAAAGCAAGGAAAGCAATGCCTTGAAACCTGCCGCAGGACTGAGCTAGTAACCAACATGAAAAGAACTTTTGCGCAGATCTGAAATAAACATCAGTGTGACACCTTAGAGGAGCAATGTAGAGAGCTTTAGGGGCAACAGCAACACTAAAGAAGCATCCCTGAGTCCTTGGTGGCCTGGAAAATGCAGACACTCTCATACATGGTCTTGCTAAAATGAAGATGGGGGAATAAGAAGGGTAGTCCAACTGGGCTTTAGTGAGTAACTTTGAAGGGTATGCTAGAAAGCAGTTTGATTTCTGAACCAAGGCTGAAAGCATCCTGTGAACACATCAATCATTTGCTGGCATCCCTCCCTCGCGCTCCTTTCCCCAGGAAGGGGATGGCTGTAGCTGCAGGCTGTAGGCGTTGGGCAGTGATGCTGGAGGTGCTAAAGTGCTTGTCCCCGAGGTGTGCAGTGCCAGGTGCCTGGGGTTTGGGTTGCCAGGTGGAGCCAAGGCCTTCCCATGAAAGAAAATTCCACAAAAGTCTTGATTTCACCTTTTTCACTTTCTCCCTCCATGCGGAAGGTGCCCGCTGCTGCCAAATCTGCAAACCTTGCCTGCTCAGAAGCATGGCAGGAGGGAGGCACTGTTCTTCTTTTTTCCAATGGGACAAGTTCACTGGCTGAACTTTAAACTGCGGTTGCATGACAGCTGGAGGAGCTGGTTGTGAGTGTTTCAGCTGTGACCAGCAGCAGGGCAGGAGGACAACAGAAGTCACAGCAGTGCTGCGGAGGATGGCTGGGTCTCACCGTTGGTCATGGGGCGTCACACGAGAAATGGCCAGACTTCAGACATGTTTAGAGGAGAGTGCTGGGGCCTTTGTGGTAATAAGGTCTTGCAAGGCCAGCCTGATGTAGGTAACCATGTCAATAACAACATATAAGGCTGTGATGACCTTGGTAGCAGTATCAGAAATACCAAATATCGGTTAAGCAAAACTAGAAACAATGAAAGAAGGGGAAATAGCTGGAGGGGATGGTACCACCTAAAAGTACCATGCCACTCCAGTTCCCTCCAACAGTTTCCAGCCCACATTCTCCCCAAGCCCTGAAGAGCTGGAAATGTGTTTCCCCATGCCTTGGATGTGGAAGCTCAGGCATTCCCTGGTAATAACCTGAATCCAGCCAGCCAGGACCAGAGCAAAACACGAAAATGCTGCACAAGCTGCATCTTCAACAAAGAATATCACACCCACCTCCAGAAACATAGAGCCTGGAGCAGTCTACTTACTGGTTATATTCTCCTTCTTAAAATCTGTAAAAAGAAAAGACAAGACATAAGGAGAGGTTGTCCAGGATATGATATAACTGGGTGCTTTCTTAGGAGCTTGCTCTGGGGAAAAAGGGACCTCCAAGTTACCTCCAAGCAGCGTTTAAGTGGCTTGTTTCTGTGCAATGGCACCTGAATGGCAATTTTGCCATCACTAAGACTGATTTTGGCAATGAGGTTGTTATGACCCTCTCAATAAAGAGCCAGGCTTTACCTGCTTGAGGAATTTTGCTCATATCCCAGTCAGATGAGACAGGCAAACAACTGATGCGGCTGTCATAGTGCCATGCACAGGCGCTGACAGGTCGGTACCCACTGTGGTCCTTTGCTTCGGTTGTAAATTATGGATCGCAACCTTCCCCCCTCCCTCACCAAGAACACAGCTCTCTAGACAACAGGCAGCATGTGGCACCTTACCAAAGAATGGGATGCGGGTGCAGGCGCTGGGGTCTTGGTGCAGGCTGGGCAGTCTGTTGCATTCGGGAAGAGTGAGTAGCATCAGCCCTGGCTTGTAAATCCCCTTCTGAGAGTTTTCCTCCATTGAGAGCCATTCCTTAAAGCAGTAGAGATCCTTTACAGCAAGGCAATTCTCTCTACATTATTTTGCAAAAAACAGTGAAATACAGCAGTCAATGGCTTGACAACAACAGCTGCACTTAGCAGTGGTGTGCAGGGATTATGCAGGTACAGAAACCCATTAATGGGGCAACCCTTCTTTAAGCCAGTCTGTCTGGCTCATAAACCATAAGGAAAACTCTGCATAAAATGTAACAACTTCCTTTAGGAAACCCACAGAGCTACATTTTTAATGAAGCAGGGTTATGCTCAAAACACAATACACATCACAGTCTGTGAGGAGTTTGTTCCAATCTTTTCCTACAGATTTATTTCCATCTTCTACTAATAAGCATCACATCTGGGAGTTATCTTAACATTTTCCAATGTGTTCTAAAAATCTCACCTGTCTTCTGTAAATTATATATTAAAGTGTCATCTAGTAACGACAGGAGGCAAGCTGCAATTCTTAATCTTCTTAAAATAAATATTTGCCTGTATTTTTAATCTCACAGAATCACCCATCCAATTTTCTTCTTTTCTCCACATATACCTTTCAATCCCTTTTCTATCTGTCAGCTGCCTGCAGCAAAACCTTGACAGTACCTGGTAAAATGAGAGACCTAATTGTCTCTTACCTAACCTGTTACCTCCATAACGATGTGAAATATTCACTGACAAGAAGTGCTTTCGATGTTTAAATGTTCCTTAGATCAGAAACCATTTGTGAAAAAGGCCAAGGCAGAAATATCTGCTCTAGCACAAACAAACAAACAAACAAAAAAACCCCACAAAAACTACCATACTGGAAAGTTTTGAAAGTTTCAGGGTGAGTTGCATTAGTCAGTTTATTGGTGATTTGCTTATTAATTGAGCCTGAATTGCAAAACCAGCTTTGAGGTCATGTGCAGAGACTACTTTTGCTGAGCTCAGCTGAAGTTCTTTGCGGATCCACATCCCTGCTGACCACCACACCTGCTGGAAGGTGTGGGAGAGGACACAGTGATGTAGAAAGCTACTGCTCGGGTCTGTCGTGAAGGTTTTAGCCCTGGTGGGCTGATGCAGTTTCTTTACTTACAGCCTGCCAACAGTTTTGGCAAGAGCAGATGGCTATGAGTTTCAGTGATGACTACCAATGCTCCAAACCCTCTAAGGCACATAAGGGACAGAGGCCATTGGGAATTCTATCAGGGAAGTAGCTTTTCTGCAACAGTAATGGATGCACTTCAAGTCTGCAGGCTGAAGCCACAGAAGCCCATCTGCCCCGTGGTTGGATTTAACCAGTGCTGGTTTATTCCTTCCTCAATTCCATGAAAGCCAGAATGCAGACAGATGGAGTAATTTATCTTTTTTATGTTAAACAACATGTGGAGCAGGAATAACCTTCTGAAGTAAAGAAATGTTTTGCTAGGGAAATGAGAAAATCTTGCATTTGAAGCACTGGCTGACACTTGGGAGATCTGGACTGCATTAGCTGCCTTCAATTGTGAAGCCTGAGGATCCTTAAACAAGCACCTTTTCGGTGTGCAACTGCAAAATGAAAAAGACCATTCCTTTGCAATCCTGCCCACTCCAGTGTTAAAGATAGGTTATCTTCACCCACAAATCCACCCCAGGAGCATGGTGAGACAGCAAGAGAGGGATGATCAGTCTCCTCAAGTTGGGTTCATACCATTGTTATAACACTTAATCCTGAGCAGCAAGAGCCTGATGAGATCATATGCAAAGATTACTTCAGATTATTATTAGAAATTTTATGTCATGTAAATGACAGATGGACAAAGAACAGTAGCAGCAGAAGAGGACAAGTAGGTCTGTAGCATTTTAGGGACCACAGAGGACTGTTTAAGAGGAGGTGGGGACACAGAGATCTGACCAAAGTGAGATGTTTCCCAACACAAGACTCTTCTTGGCAGCTTGGGCACTTCATAGCAGCAGTGGTTGAAGCAGAAATTGAAGGGTTTTCCTTTTGCTGTCATAGAAGCAGTCAGTGGTAAAAGGCAGATGTAATCAAGAATTATGAGATGAGACATCACGTTTCCTTAGAAACAAGAAAACTCTAATTTTAATCAAATTGCATCTTAATTTACATGAAGTGAGGTTTTTCCCATGTTGTTTTCTCATGTTTCACTTCATGGTGTTTTATCTCCTGATTATTTTTATAAAATCTTTACTCAGTCTGTCAGCTGTTATTCTTCTTAACTATTTTCCAAACAAAAATGAACATAAAAAATTACACAGGAGAGAAAAAATGGTGCAGAGAATAAATAGCAAGACAAAACCACATGGAAATATGTCAAGGGAAATATGTCCCTCAAAAGCTGGGAGAATTCTCTGGCCTCTGAGATAGTTAAATTCTAACTCAGGAAGTATTTCAGCTGAAAACTGGTGTAGTCTAGCCAGTTTCTGCAGAGAGGTATAAAGGTGTCAGTAAAAAGCAGATAATGTAATTGGAAAGTGACCAAGACCATGTGAAATGTGTTCAAGAGCCCCCAGAGGTTTCAACTGTTCAGAAGTACATATTGGATGTCTTGAGTTATCAAAAGGAGTATTGGGTTAGGGCTTTGGAGAACTGTTGTCCAGCTGATGTGCTCTGGAAACAGGAAACAGGAAGGATGCCGTTCCAGGGCTCTTGTCATGAAGAAAGCTGCATTTCACTCTGCATTAAAATCACAGGGGGAAATCATTAAAGGGAAAAAAACATAACATTGACTTGAGGATTTGAAGAAAGACGATGCCAGGCAAGTCCAGTAAGATTTAAACACATTTGCAAATGCTGTGCAAATGTTAGCTCAAAATCACGTGCAGATTTATGCTGATTTAGCTAACTGACTTCAGAAGTGCCCCAGAAGGGCAGGTGTTCAGTCAAATCAGCACAAGTTCTTGTCCTGCAGGGCCACTCATGAGCAGGGGTAAACAAAGCGAGACCCAGATCTCACTGAAATACCTCATAGAGCACTGTGCAAAATCCTTAGCTGTCAAACGTGCTGTGCATGTGTGGCTCAGATATAAATACTGTCACACATTCTTGAAAAAAGGCAGAGGCATCATGTCCCAAAGGGCACAATGACAAAGAGCTGGAAAACAAGGTGGCAGGGAGGAGTCTGACAGCAAAAAGCAAGTTTCAGTATTTGGCTGCATGGTTGTCTGTGGATGCTTGCACATACACTTTCACAGGATGTATGCCACTACCGCGCTGGCGAAGGAACACCGAACAGCATGGGCACCAAAGAGAGAACACAATGTACTGTCAAGCTTCAGACTGGGATTTTCCTCTGTGCCTTTGTTTTAGAGACATTAAAGGAGGAGCAATCAGGAAAGTCCAGATTACAAAGACATCATGATGCTGGTTGTCCTAAAAAGCCCCTACATAACTGGAAAAATAATTGCCAGTAGACTACATCTGGCCCAAGTCCAGCTGGCAGAGCGCTTGCAATGTCTGCAGAGAAGACTTGTATTTTAGTTGAGACATTAGAGTGGTGCTGCTGTCCCAATAAACACAAATCTGAATAATCTGTTTTAAGATTGCACTTAGGCAGGGATGTCAGCTGCTCAAACGTGAAGTGGGGAATGACTAGACAACAGTCCTCCAGGGGCTGAAAATAGATGTGAATCAATTGTGTTAGGAAAAAAAGGAAGCTTCACCCTGAGACGTCTCCATGGGACTGTCCTCGCCAAGGCATACCAAGCAATCATCATTTTGTTATAGTTAACACTGAAAGAACCTAGGCTGGAGGCTATATATAGTTAGCACTTAGGGAGAGATAAGGAGCAGAAGCTCCAGAGACCAGAAAAGCAAGACCTATGAGCAGAGTTTGGAAAAAAATGCTTTATTCTAGTTGGAAAAGTTGGAGAAGACGTAAAATCTCTCTGCAGAGGGGAAAGGAAGAAACTCGGGAGGACAACAAGCAATGAGGGAAGGGCCATTCACGAAGTTGCATGGGGAGGGAGCAGTGTCTCTGTCGCTGGGACGTGTTTCACAAGCACCTGTCAGCAGTGGATTAGCTGTAGTGGGAGACGCTTTGGACTCCTTGGGGCCCCTGCCAGCCCTTTTTCAATACACATTTCTCTGCATATGGGAGGCTACAAGAGCCAGGTGGGAGCTTTGGTTTAACAGGTACAATTACACTAGCAGTGTCTCTGGTGTCATTTTTTTTGTTTCATCTTTGTCATGATGGGTAGTGCTGTATGATTACTGTATTGCCTTGGCCAGATTTGTGGCAAGCACTGTGACCATACTTAGTCAAAATCCCAAATAAACAATTACTTTTGATAGTAATAATGAGTGCATACTGACCTAGTAAGATTTAACTGATAGCAATATGTTAATTATTTAAATCAATTATGTCATTCAGGTTGATATTTCTTTTTAACACTGTTAAGAGCTTGATATAACACGTATGTCTGGGCCTGAAAGTCAGTCCGTATCCTAGCAATGAGCACAGAGAGAGTTGGATCGGGTCATCTTTGTGCGTATAGAGGAGAGAACAAAGGGAAAACTCATGCAAAACATTTTCAATCAGTGCTACTGCAGGTCCAGACAGACCATCACCACTCCCCTGCTGCCTACACATTCCCACGAAATGAAAGTGAAAGATGAGCATTTTTTTAAATTTACCTGCACACTGGTTTTGGAGCTGGCCCAGCTCCCGAGGGATTGCACTCCTGGAAGATGTAGTTACACAGCAGAGACTCAGCGGCCGGTTGGCAGAATGAACTCACCATTTTCATTTCAGTCCAGGCAGTGTGCACAAGCAGCTCTTGGGTCTCCTCTGGGTCAGCATAGGAGGAGTTGAAGAAAACAAGAGCATTCTTCGCCAAGATAGCACTACACACCTCACCTCTGTACGTGCTGCAGTAGCCTGCATCACCCTTGTACAGCTTGCTGTCGAGGACAAGAGCATACACATGCAGTAAGCTCACGCCCCTAAACACCTGCAGGAGCAAGACTTCTAGGCTCTGTTTCTGAATAAAGTGGCATCTGTAAGGCTAGCAGAGTGTAGAGGAGATAGTAGGCAGTTATAACCACTAAAACCAGCTAATACTGTCCAAGAATTAAACTTCTGCAAGGAAGCCTGGTACGAGTGCCAGGCCCTCCTGGAGAGCTCCAGGGTTGAGGCTCTGACCAAGGGTTGTTAGCATTATAAGTGGTCAAAAAGCCTGGGCCATCATGTACAGCTGTCACCCAGCGTGGCTCCTCGCCGTGGCCCCAGGACCTAATGGGAAAATGTTTTGTTCTCCTGCTTCCCTGCAGTAGAGATCAGCCATGCTAATTGCTGCACACCTGTGGTAACTCGGGATTTTTTGCTCTCCTGACTAGCAACAGTTTAATTTTGGACGGACTCAATGAGCAGGACCCATGTGAGTCCCACCCAACACGTGTCAGGAAATTTTTCACAAGACCAGCCCAGCCAAGTTCCTGCCTGCCCCTCCTCATCTCCTGTACCCCTCCTGACCTTAACTCTCTTCTACACGTGTTTAAGTGGGAGATACAGGGAGGAGAAAGGCACAAGCATGCAGTTTTCCTTCTGGTGCTTCCCTGCAAGGTCCATCCTCTCCTCTCTTCACCACACGTCCCACTTTGCAAACTCCTGCTGCAAAGCATGGGGACAGAGCTTATGCCGGAGCAATGAAAAGCACAGCAGGGTCGGCTCCTTTGTCGTCTGTTTATTTATCTTTCCTGTGTTTTTTGCATCTAACAGGAGATGGTTGTCATCCCTCCCTCCCTTCTTCCCCACGGCCATCAAAAGGGAACAGCAGGGCAAGGGCACGCACCGGTCAGCCGTGCTCCCAGCAGCTCCCACGGTGGCCCCACGGCGGCCCCACAGCAGCCCCACGGCAGCCCCATGGCAGCAAGGTCTGCGGGTGAGGATGCTCCCTCCACTCAGGCAGCCCGTGGGATGCAGTGCCCTCGGGGCGGGGGGGACACACCTGGGAAAACAGCCCCCCTCGTGTGCCGGGGACAGCCGAATCGGGTAGGGAGCAGGGCTGGGTGCAGCTGTCCCCACTGCTCATTCAGCCAGTTTAACTGGGGTCAGGGAGTTCAATTCGCAACACGCCAACCATTTGGAGTAGCCAGCAGAGCTATTTGTATCTTTGCCTTTTATTCCTTTTATTTCTTTCCCCTGTCCAACTAATGGCTCATTGTCAGCCCTAGGGGTTCTTGCTGGAGTTCTTTTCGGAAAGCTGCAGGTACATGGACAAGGGATTATACAGGATGCCCAAATTTCAGCTTTTCAGATGCCGCTTCAGACAGCACTCTCTGGCCCTGGTTTAGCTGCAGTACTTTGAGCTCACTGCCAATTTTTTTTAATTCCACACACACACATCACATTGGATGAAAAATACAGGAATGCACCGATTCCTTGAGGTAGCACCAAAACGTCAGTGAAGCTGTGACACCCTGCATCACCCCAGGCTCCACAGACCCCGCTTCGTGTGACCACAGGCACTGTCCAGCATCCTGCACTGGTCCCACAACCCGTGACATCTCCCTGGCACAGCGCAGGTTTCCATGCTGCCCCAGTGCCCTGCTAGAGCTGTCCTTGGCGTGGCAGGGGTCACAGTATTCACGTTTTCCTGAAGATGCCCATCGTGCTTAATCTGAAAGGTGCATCCTTCCTGTTCCCCAAGAGGCAAAAGAGAGCACGGCTGAGCGTGGGGCAGCTGTGCTGCTGACTTCGGGTGGCTGCAGAAGCAAAAAGCAAAAAGCCCCCAGCGCTCATAATGTGTTTCCTTGCTTTTTTAAAACCTGCAGGGAGACACGGACCAGGCTGCAATGGAGAAGCAGCCACCACGTGTTTCTCACAACGCCTTGTCACAGAAAGGGAATTTCATGCAGCAAATGTTGAGAACAACTGTGGGACAGAAGGGCTGAACATCTGACCACTGTTCCCATGCCTGTCACACCTACATGAGTGCAGGTGTAAAGCATAAGTCTGCCATCATCATTGGGTGGTCACTAAATCACTTACAAACTTCCTGAATCGATCTTGCAATCCCCTGTGAGGGAGGCAAGGGCCTTCAAAGGGAGCCTGTGTCAGGAAAGTGGCAAAACCATTTGCTCAGAATTTCTCGAGCTCTACTCTTTTCTCTGAGGGCTAGTAGCTCCCAGCCCTCCTCCCCAGCTAACCCTCTAATTTTCCTTCCAGACTGATCTGCCAGTGCAGAATGTAGAAATATGCTAGGACTCTAAAAACAAAAAGCCAGCCAACTTGTTCAGTATTCCAAAAAATACTAAGGAAAAGTGCACATGCAAGTGCATGTGACCCACTTACATACAAGTGGCTTTACCCATCCATAACTCCTCTTGGAACAAATATCTAAACTTCTCCTGCCCTGATCTGGTGATCACCGAACCAAAATACATTTATTGGCTGTGTACACACAGGAGTTTAACTTGCAGTCAAGCTTTTGCCTGTAAATTCATAAGGCCAGTGAAGTTGCAGATGTGTAACTGTGAATGGAATTTACTCCAGAATATTCTGCCCACTACTGTATTTTAAGCACCCTTACTGATGTGTGATCCACTGCTTGCTTAATACGGAAGCTTCCTTATCTACCTGGGTCCAGCCTCCATATATGCCTGTATAAAGGAGCTCAGCACTCTCTTCAGGTGAACCTCATTTCCATGTTTAGCATCCAGAAATCCACTCCATTCATTTAAGCCAAATTAACCAAATCCCCTTGGTTCATCATTCGTTCTCCTCCCTGGCCCAGAGAAAACCCCCAGGCAGCCACAGAAAGTCATTCTTACCTCCACTCTGCCAAGAGGCACCAGATCCAGGAATTGTGATGAGCCAGGAGAAAGAAGAAATGGAAAAGACATCAGTGTCACTTCATTGCCCCCTGTGAGATGTGGGGGTTAAGACTTCCATGGTAGGAATGTGTCTGAGACCCGTAAGCTCTCTGAAAAGGATGCAGCTAAATTCTGTCCTTATTTTGCACCTTCTTGTAGGGAAGAAGAGCTCAGCAACACTGGGTGCCATGTGGGGAGAGGGAACGAGGAGGAGCACAAGAATTGCTGGCTGCAGCTGAGGTGAACCGTTGCACCCTAAACCCACACCTTTACTCTTATCCTTTGGATCCTACATAACCAGCAGATAGCACCCCCTAAGGCACCCATGCACCCATTGCTGCAGGCAGTAGCTCTAACAGGTGGGAGAAACCAGGGCTGGAGAATCAGCGCAGGCGCGCAGCCATGCCCCCCACTTGCATCACAGCGGGGAGCTGGGCTGCACCGGCTCAGGGAAGAGGTGCTGAGCATCGGCCAAGGACCACAACACCCCTGCCCTGGGACCCTCGGGAGCTGGGACGAGGCCAAGGCAGGTTCCTGCTCAGGTCTGGGGGGCCGCTGAGCACATGCAGCGGGGGGGAGAGCACTGCTGCTCCTCCCACCACCTAAAGCACCTGCCCTCCCTCTTGCATTTGCCACTCTGCTTCACGGGGCAGAGCCTTGCCTGAGCTAAAAGCAAAAGTGGGGATGTGAAATACAGTATCAAGTGCTGAGTCTCTTACGGGGCAGAACGTGTTGCTAGGTCTCAATGCCCAGTGTTAGAAAGGGAATGGTCATTTTCTCAAAGGAGCAGACACATAGAGACAGGGGCAGGTGCAGGCCTGGTTAGCAGCAGGACCAGGGTTACCACACCATGTCTGGAGTCCCAGGTGATTCCTCTTTCCTCTAACTAAACCCCTCTGCCTCTCCCCAGAGGGAAGGCACAAGCTGCCACCTTTCTCTTGGTATGACAAATGCTGTCAGCTAGCTCAGATCATAGGTATTTCTCCTCTTTGGATCACCCTTTCCCCATCTGAGAGAAGTCCCTGGGAGCAGAGGTCACCCCAGGCACAGCAGGGTAGTGCTCTGACAGCAACATCCCTGCTTTCTGGGTGCAACCGTCTGAGAAGTCAAACTGCTCACAACAGCTATTTTCACCTTGCTGTTAGGTGATACCAACGCTGGGTCATGGCCATGACTTCCTCCGCATGGATGAACTTACCAAGTGCGCTTCTGGGACACAAAGTACAAGATGGCATCAAACGTTCAGGAAATGACAGCTGTGCCAGTCTCCAAGGTGTAAGAATATATGAGGAAATAGCATGGCTGGGGATGCACTTGTACTCAAATTTAGCCCCCTGCACACTATCAGCTCTCCAAGTCGTTCCCTCCTCCTCCAGAGTACTTCACATCCCTTTCCTCTCCCCCAGCAGGGAAGCCAGGACTGCGATTGCAAGGGTAAAAAATTAACGACCAACTTCTTTCCCAGCATACCTGAAACGCTGATGGTTGCTGCGGCCTTTGCAGCTCCAAAAGTTTTGCTGTGTTTGTTCGTGGCAAGGCAAGTGAACAAGCCAGGTCGAGTGACATAGACCTGCAGTCTGGAGTCAACCACTCTGTCCTTGACACTTTCCACTATAGACCCTGCAGAAACCTAAGAGACCAAAAAGCCCAGTGCAGTGGTATTTCCAACAAAGGCAAACAAACCAAGTAAAAATTTAAGAGGCTCAGCCGCAAGCATTTAAATTGGCAGAGAAAGATGCGGCAAGCAGATAGAAGTGGAAGAGAGCTAAAGCTGCTGGTGTTATTTTGGTGCTTTCACAGCAGCTGACTTCACAGACAAGAGCAAATGTTTAAGACTGCTCCTATTTCACAATTCAGTGATACTTTTGCAATTAATTTTCAGTTCCATAGGCCTGTAATCTCAGTTTTGCTCATGTAATTGAGCTGGATAATTACTAAACCAGTAGTTTTCTAGTTTTCCTATTCATGCCTTAGCAAGGAAGGGCACGAAGTGGCTTTGTGGACCCTGGCTATACAGAGAAAGAAAAGAAAATAGTTTGAAAGTTGTTGATTTGGGATTAATATAGCCACTGCCACAATTCCAAAGCAGTCATGAGCAAAGCAAGTGCTCTGGCTATGACACTTTGGGAGATACCTGATAGATTCTCTTATCTCACACCTGGAAATACGGAAGGGGCTGCAGATGTGGTGTCTGTGCAGATCCCATTGAAATCAAGTTTCCACTAACCTCCAGGGAGGTTAGATTGGTCTCTCTAACTTCTCAGATAAATGTATAGGTAGAGTGCTTTGCTGGGGTGGATCCAGGGAGATAGCTCTCACTGTCCTTAGGGCCAGGTCGCACCGGTGGGGATCCAGGGGCAACCACATCTCGCTTGAATTACACTTGTTGCTTCCTATCAGTGTGAAGGGTAGAGGAGGCAATGCTGCTCATTCCTTGTGCTGATCAGGTCCCCTCTCCCTCCTTATCCCTCAGGCCTCGGGCATACCCCGTTCTGCTAGCTACTCTCCCAGCAGCACTGGGCTGTGCCTGGTGAGCACAGAGAGCCAGGACTGCTCCTCCCGGCTTGGGTATGGGAGGAAAAGGGCACTCGGGTATCTGCAAGCAGTACGAGCAGCACATGTGGTCACAAGCACCATGGAAAATCACAGGTAGAAGTGTCAGGTCATTGCGCCTAGGACTTCCACACTGGCCTCCTGGTGTTTTCTCTGCTGGGAACCTCAAGCCATTCCCTCATGTTAATTGATTCCCTTCCCTTTTCAAATACATTCCCTGAGATTTTGTTTCCAGCACATCCTTCTTTAGCCTTTAAAACATGACCTCAGCCACCACCAAAGCAGAGGCCTCTTCACAACTTCACACCTGGCTCACTTATTCTTTCCAGTGCAGACAACTACAGTTCAAGGTCCATGATGCCCCATGGTGCATAGTGGGAGGAGAAGGAATGGTGTTTCTGTTTAGCTAGGCAAGGCAGCTGCTGCTCAGAGGAGTTTCCATCCGCCTCTTCAAAGGCAGCTCAATAACCTCAGCAGATTCCCACTCTTTAAACCTCAGGACAATTACAGGTCGGTGTTCAGAGACCGTAATGCCACAGGCACATTGCATCTTCAAATGACTCACCATTGCTTGCTTGTGAGCCAGCCCTCAAACGCTCCAGTCCACCCGCTTCCCGGCCTGGCTTTCCCAGAGTCGGGCTCTCGTTAAGGTCTCCTTGCCGTATTAAAATGAGGCAGTCTGAAGCACCACTCTCCTGGGACTGGGCTTTGCCTTGCAGACAGGATCGGGGCAGGGCAGATCTGACCAGCCGGGCGGTGGCTCCGGGCAGGGTCTGAGCATCATCTCACACATGTTCCCTGTGGGACCAACGCACCGGTGCGAGCTTGGCAGAGCAAGGGTCTGTTCTCCAGAAATATTCTGCCCTTGCCAGTTACCACAGAGCCCCCAAAAGGTTTCTACCCCAACGGCAAAGAAGTCTTGAATGAACACCTGCAGTTGTGTCAAAATTATCACCAGAAACTACTGAGGACCCACAGGGCTCTATGGAGGCTGATCTGATACCTTTGCTGTTCTCCCTAGCAACCTCTAGGGAATATAGAAAATTATACCTAATCAGACTGGAGGACACAATGAAGTTTAGAGGAGATAAGGAAGGCAGGACAGCCTGCAGAGTAGCCCAGGCTCCCCAACAATGTACGTTAATACATGGAAAGAGAGGATAGAGACCAGCGTGGGGATAGCCTTCTGTAGTAAGACAATTCAGCAAGAGGATTTATTGGTCCTGTCAGACAAGCAACTCCAAAGGAATGGCCATGGCCAGCCAATGGCCAGAAGGACTTGGGGCTGACAGGGGCTCAGGGAGATAGAGCAGAGGCAAACTGCCAGCCTGCACACAGTGGCTGCTCCACCTGCCTCCACAGCATCGCACCGTGAGGCTCACATCCTTAAAAAAGCTGTTGAAAGACCACAGGGAGTATAAACCATGTCCACCATAACCATGTGAAGGCTGGAGGGAACCCATGGCAGGCTCAGACTGCAGAGCCGCTGCTCACTCCTGGGGAGGTAACACTGACTGTCAAGCAGCTCTTCACTTCAGCTGAAGGGAAGGCATTACAATGGCCTACACATGGACATGAATGTCAGTCGAATTCACAGTAGACACCTATTTTAAATGGTCAGGATAATCAGACCACAGAACAATTTCCTGTGAGAAGCAGTGGATTTGCAGCTCTTGGTGCCTGCTGTTGAAGAGGGTGTGCCTTTCTTCAAGACGTGCTTCTAGCCAGGAATAAATTGGTGACATACTTCAGTGTGTCACCTAGGTCAGTCTAGCAAATTTCAGATCCATTCATCTGCAAATATACTTTGCGTATATTCTGTCCCACAGGTATTTTGCCTCAAGACAGTTTGTTCTACCTAACTACCTCAGTTTGTGTTATTTTGTCAAAAAAGAGATTTTGCCAAAAAAGAGATTTTGCCATGGCATTGTTATCACATTAGGTGACCAAAGTTGGCTGCAGAAACACTTAAACCCACAATGAAGTGCTAGAAAGCCTGGCTCAGAAGGTTGTAAACATCCAAAGCATCCTTCATCTTGGGCTTTCCAGACTCTAACAAATTAACCCACGCAACACACTGGAGAAGGGTGAGAGTGTTTTGCAGAGGAGAAAACTGCAGCAGGGAGTCGAGGCAGGCTTAATGTGATTGCACAGCAAGGTGCTTAAGTACGGCAGGAATAGAAACCGTGGGCAGTGGCTCCCAGCCCCACATTTTAATTCCTAGGCTGCGCTTCTGGATGCTAGCAGAACTCCCGGGGCCAAAAGCATGAAAAAAGAGGCACTTACAGCTTTCCCATTTTCCAGCCAGGTGACGGTGGGGACTGGAAGGCCGGTCGCCGCACACCGCAATGTCACCACAGACCCAAAAGTGATGTTTTGGGATTCAGGAGCCTTCAGGATTCTGGCAAAAACTGCAGGAAAAGACAAAGGTGCTAGTTGAATGGCAATGTAAAGCTAAGTCTTTGCTGGTGTGGGGATGCTTCCTTCCCAACAGATCTCGAAATAAGAACAGCCCCACGAACAAAAGCGGAGTATAGCAAGGTCTTCCCAGTGAGTGACAGTCTTGGGAGAGGGATGAGGAGAAGAAAAAAAAGTGATCAGCACTGTTATGTTCTGCACCTTACAGACCAAAATTTTACCTCTGGAAATGTCTACACCATCAGAGTTCAACGCCTCAGAGGAGGTAACATGCAAAAAACCAAGGGTAAACTCATCCGTAGCATGCAGATGGGACAGCTTACAACAAATACACAACAAGTTACCACGCTGCCCTGCCAAGGGTGACCTCATGAGAAACCTGTTCAAAACCATCAAGAGAGACCACCAGCATGGTCACAGACGGTGAAGGGTAAGGGTCAGATAAGCTCCTCCGTGTGATCACAGTGATTAAGATTTACCATGGAGAGCCGCAAACCTCAGCATTTTCCATGCCACGACAACCTGCCCTAAGGGGAGAGTCTAACATCAAGTTACAGGGGAATGGCCAGCAAAGACTTTGGGAAGCTGACATTGCAGGGAGAAAGGTGAGTTTTTAAAGTCACTTTTCATCTCTACTGCTCTTGCTTCTTTTGTTTGAAGAGAAGCGAGATAAGTGCTTCCCTGGCCCAAGTGAAAAGAAGAATTGAAGTATTTTTGCTGAAAAGTTATTTTGATACAGAAACACAACTCTAATGGCCTTCACAAGCTGTATTTCAGCTGCTGTATTTGGACCACATAGAGGAAAGCAGAGAAGAGAGACATTTCCCGTGCGGAACATTTGAGTTTTGACCCAAAATTTTTAATGGACATGCCTGAATGTCTGTGCAGAAGCAGGCTGAATAGTTCTGTTGCCATTTCTTACTCCAATTTCTCATGCTTAGTGAGTAATGCTTGCTCTCTACCTTCTGGGCTGCACAGCAATGACTGAAAGTCTCCATCAGAAATTTTAGTAAGCAGGGGAGTTTCTCTTGGAGTTCTCAGACAAGCTTGTTTGCCCCTTTTGCTATCTGTATTCTTCCCCTTACCAACATACCTGTTTGTGTCATGTTCTTCTATGTCTCTGCCCAACACACCTCTTGACAGTGGCCACTGGCTGCTCCCAGATGGAGACCTCCAATGCAGAGCAAGTAGGAGACCAGTGGGTCCCTCCAAAAACTGAACATCTGTCCCCGATATTTGGGATGGGAAGGCTTTGTCTGCAAAATTTCAGTTGGAATAAAAAAAGTACATGCTTTCCACATAGTTCTTCCATCAAGTCTTGGCCTGGGAAGGAGCTGAGTTTTGCATTAACAAAGATCTTAAAACCAGTTTTTGCTTGTGGATAGATAATGTTTGGAGTACGTTTCAGGTGTCTTAGAAGCACAGCCATTCCATAGGCTCCTGTGCAGGACTTTTTAGGAAGATTACATTTAATGTCAGTGAAGTAAAAAGGGTAGGAGGATGCACATTATATTCAGCTTCTTAACTTGTCTACAGTCTCCAAGCAGTCCCTCACTGTTGATGCTTGGTGCCACTTGCTTAAAGTCAAAGCAGAGCAGCATCAGGGGCTGCTGTATTCCCCCTGACCCTCAGTGAGGCATCAGGTACAAAGCCACACCGCTAACGAGGAAAGCTGCAGTCACTGGTCAGGGACTTTCCTCATGAATAATATGCAAAATGAAACCTTTGCCTGAAGTTTCACTTCAGGCCATTAACACCAGATGGTTACAAATTCAGCCCCAAGCATGCTGGGCCAAGCTCATAATTCCTTTTATACTTCATTCGGAGAAATACTAAACTTTTGGGCCTGTCCCCTGGCAGCAATTATGTGCACATGGCTCCTGCCGAAGCCAGCAGATTAGCTCCCAGAGCCGGAATACGGCCCTCAGTGCTTTTCTCATGCTGCTGTTGGTTTCGCGGGGACCCTGACCACCTGACAACTCTGCTGCTCAGGTCCTGCCCTAATCAATACCGAGGTGACAAATTAGCAGCACCCTATTAGCCAGTGCAGAACACAGGTGCGTATGTCTTCCTCTGAACTGACCACTCTCCCAAAACCTGAGTGGAGCTGTCAGCCCACAGAAAAAAATATGTGCTTTGTTAACAATGGCTGGTGCGCAGGCGGGGGGGAAAACCAACACGAGGGCGTGGCACCTGCGGGGAGGCCAGAAAGCTGCATGCCGTTCCCTGCACTGATCCCAGCACTCGCTTCAGTAGCCCAGCACACTGCTGGCGTGAGCCAGAATAGGGAAGGCAAGGGGTCAGGCCATTCAAGCCTAAAACACCAAATACAGGAGTAAAAATCCAGCCACGGCTGCGAAGCATCCACATGTTTCTTGTGGAAAGTACTGCAGGTGTATTAGCTAGCAGAGGGAAGGGTGGCTATGTGAAAGTGGGCCTATAAATACATAAGTAGATTTCCAAAGTGTGGAAGAGTGGCAGCTCCTGCTACACCCAGTGCCACTGTGTGCATTTCCAGGACTTTCAAAATCGAAGTTACAGATTTAGTACTTTAACATTTCAAGTACTTGCATTTGCATGCTTTTTAGAAGTATTTTACTTAAAGTTTAGCTGTTTAACTTAAGTGCTTAGCTCTAACTACTGTGAATGGAATAACCTGGGGTTTTTTACATCATTTTATTTTTAAGTGAGAAATTTCGTGGGACAAGGGCTGGACTTCCCAGGTCCTGACAGGCTTTGAAGTGCTGCTGACTGGCATACCCCAGGGACATGTTTTCCAAAGGGCATCACTTTGGGAAACAGCATTAAATAAATACCATCAGCTATTTCTCAGCCCCATCACGTATGACTGACACACTGCCATAGCTGGCAGACTCAGGTACTGTGGGAAAACCAGGATGGGTTGTGTGAGTTAGTGTCACCTTCTACCAGTGCAAAGTGGGGCAAAACCACCAGCATGAGCTTGAGGTCCATTTTAGCAACTGCATCAGCAAGGAAATCTCTCCTGTAGCTAAATGGAGGATCCCAGACCCAAAACAATGACCTTTTTTTCCCCATCATATTACACAAAGAAAGAAAGCTGGCAAAGGCGAGGAAAAAATGGCAACCCTGATGGTGCCAACCTAAGCAACTGGCAGGGAGAGGCGGGTGAAAGTGAGGAAGAGGAAAGAACAGGAAATGGCAACAAATGTTTTTAAAATTCATGATATTAGCTGGGCTCAGGACATGATTTTTGTTTTCATTTTGTCTCAGAGTGAAAAATCCCACCAACCAGACGATTTTTAACACTTCCATGACTTGCTCTCCTTTTCCAGATCCTCCCAAAGTGGATTTTGATGGGACCATTGTCTGTTTAGCTACATCACCACAAGGTTAACAACATTCACATCAAGACCCGCCCAGGCTCTTAGCACAGGATTTACCCAAAGGCGTGCCAAAAAACAGTTAGGGAAGGTGGGCGAAGAGGGCTTAATTTATTTATTTATTTAAGTGGAAAATAAAACAGAGGAGCTGGAAATTAAATCCGGCCAGCAAAAAGCCAAGCCAGCATGTTAAGTTTCACTCCCAAGCCCTCTAATAAATGTCCTTTCTTTTACAGCCCTGTTAAATGATGTGCTGTGCACTGCAGGGCTTGCTAGGAGGTATCTGCACCACAGCCAGCTGCTCTCGTTTCTGAGAATTAGGTAACATCATCCAGTCCAAACAGTAGGGCTTTAATTCAGTCACGAAATTTTTATTCTATAAAAAGATTAAAGCAGGGTCCGCCCCCAGCCCCCAGATTGAATGGCTAACTCTTTCCAGGTGACTTTGTTTTCCTGTCGCCTTTGCCTGAGCTGGGTTTCATTTCCAAGGTTTGGGGCCCAATCCTGCAGTCCTGGCAGATGCCTGTTCCCTGACTGGGTAAAGCCCATTTTTTTTGTTAAAGCAGGCTGGATTGAGCCACTCCCATCCAGGCAGCAGCCTGGGTGGCCTGGGGTCATGCTGCTGCTTTTGGGAAAGGACAAAGTGATGCCCAGAGCTCACAAGAAACCCTTGTAAGCACAGACCCACTGCAGGAGGACGTCCCTTTTATCCAGGATTTCATAAGCCTTAGCGCTGGCTTTGATGCACCAGGCCCTGTCAAGCACTGGTTTTGGGGTGTGGGGTGGGTTTTCTCCCAGACCCTACACTAGCTTTGGTGAACCTTGACTTTCAGAGAACAAAAGCAACATTTGCCAATGTACATGAGTTAACCCAGCCTGTCAGCATCTGCACATATTCATGTCCAAGAGTTTGTTGCTAGTCCTGGCATACTGTAAAGCATACCTGATAGTCCAAACCAAGATAGGCCACCGAGAGTTAAACCTGTGTTAGCAACCACATGGCACGCTCCCTTCCCACTGCAGTTTGAACCTGGCCTAACACGTGAGCCAGACCTGGCTTGTCCATGTAGCCAGATCTGATATCTCAACGTGCTCCACTTTCCCTGATTGTTTTGCTTTTATTATGAAAAATGGTCTTTTGGGTAATTACAGCCAGATCCTATGATAAAAATTTTTTCCAACTAAGCTGCAAAACATTGTGGGTAAAGGTAACTCCTACATGTAAAAGGCATTTTCCTCTGGTACAGCTGGTGCCATGTTGAGACCCAATGTGTCTACATTGCTGGGGGAATTGGTAAGCTACGCATTGCCTCGGAAACTTTCCTGATATAAATACCCTGGCAAAGCCTTTGTGCTGCGTACTATTCATGTGCAAGCATTTAGGAGCTAAACTACAAGCATTTTTTTGTTTGGGTTTACCAATGTTCCCATAGCTTTTTCGTACCCAAAGTGTGACAGATTGAAATGACTCCTTCTCTACAGAGGAGTTCTCTGGACTTGGACTTTGCTTACTAATCCATAAGAAATCACTTATGCTTGCCACCTATATGCTCTGAGGATCCAAAAAGTTGTGCCAATGCATTTTCAGTCTTTTGCCAGTGAGAAGCCCAGTCGTCTAAATCCCCATTCAG